TGTGCGTGTGCGTGTGCGTGTGCATGTGCATGTGTGTGTGTGCGTGTGTGTGTGTGTGTGTGTGTGTGCGTGTGCGTGTGCGTGTGCGTGTGCGTGTGTGTGTGTGTGTGTTTGTGTGTGTGTGCGTGTTTGTGTGTGCGTGTGTGTTCCTTCGCCCTCCCTCAGTTGCCAGTTGCCGCTCCCCGGGAAGCAACGCCCACCTCAGCACGGCCCAGGAGGCCCCCGAGGCGCCCCCCATTCAGCAACGCCCAACCCAGCACGGCCCAGGAGGCCCCCGAGGCGTCCAGAAAGGGCGCCATGAGGGGGGCACCCGAGAACGGCGCTTCCGGGGGCAGCGGCGCCTCCAGGGGGGGGGCGGGGTGCTAGCTCCTCTCGGAAATGGAGGACCGAGGGAGAGGGGTGAGGAGGAGGAGGAGGAGGAGGAGGAGGAGGAGGAGGAGGAGGGGCAGGAGGAGGGGCAGGAGGAGGAGGAGGAGGAGGAGGAAGAGGAGGATTCAGGGTGGCGATGGGGGCGGAGGAGTTTCAATTGGCCGACTGGCCAAGTACACAATGTCATCTGCCAGCCTCTGCTCTCAGCTGCTTACAGCGGCTACAGTTGCGCCATATCGTAGCGATCTAGTGTCCTCATGACAGTACACGTTATCACAACCTTTGGCCAGCCAGTATCGCTTGAGCCAGCCACTATGCGTCGGCATCCGCAGAGGATGACTAAGGCTATGTGTTCGAGCACGCATTCTCTTCTTGACGGCTGCCCCTCAATTTCAAGTATCAGTTCAACTCTCTTGGTCAAAATTGGCCCACTGACCAAGAACACTGTGATCTCGGCCGGCCTCTGCTCTAATCTGTTAATACGCCGGTTACAGTGAGTTACCCTTTTGGCATTTCGGTAGGGGAGTGACTTCAGGACACTCCCACTGTGGACTCAGCACTCTCTCCTAGTTCAACAAGCACACATTTCTTGAACACACCTAGAGCTAGTGCCACCTGAGCCAGCCACTTGAACCAGGAACAGTCTGCTCTGCCGCACAGGCCAGCCACTACAGCTGGCAAGACCTGAAGCTAGGGGGGCTCGGGCAGCATCAGGGGAGGGGCGGATCCAGTCGGGTGGTCGGGGAGGGGCGTTTTTGGCACACTTGGCTGTTTGGCCTTCGGCGGAGGGCGTTCGCCCTGCAGGGGGCCGCCGAGTGCGCGTAGCGATGCCATATACCAGCTTCCACTTGCCAGCCTGCACCCTTGCCCCTGTCGCCTACGCGCACGGCTCCGTAACCCTCCTGTGCACCCCCTGCCTGCCCCTACACTCGGCCCAATTGCGCACCTGCGGTGACGAGCAGAAGCCTGGCAGACAGGGGGGGGGAGGGGGGAGCGACAAGAGCCACAGTGGTGGCCACAGTGACGCCCCCCCCAGGAGCTGGAACGGTGAAGGGGTCGCCCCCAGGGGAACCGAACATAATGTGTGTCAAGCCCAAGAATTGCAATGTTGCTTCAGGGTCGTATCCTCTTCCAGGCCAACCGTCGAAGACTGCGCCAGCCTTTGCAAGCACACACCCGGGCATCACTCTACACGCCGGTCGTTGAAAGTAGGTATTTTTGGATTCCCAGATCCCAATCAACTTCAAGCGCCTTCCTACTTCAAGAATCGACACGCTTTTGATGTGTTTTGTTATTCTCTGGGGGGGTCTGGACCCAATCAACTTAATCCGCCCTCCTACTTCATGTTTTTATCTACTTCTTCCGACCGACGTGTACACCGTCGCCAGCACACTGTCTTTTTCTCTTGCATTTTGCCATCTCGCTGCGCCACTGCAGAGAGGCAGACCTCGCCACCCCAACGCTACAGCAGGCTCGCTGGTCCTTTCTATTCTCGCAGCTGGCTGCATCCTGCCTCACACATGCCAGCCAGTACCAACCTGGCCAGCCCAGTGCCAGCATTCGGGCACACTTCACAGTTTGGTCTAGCTTACCTCCCTCGCCACATGCCTGGCTTGCCACTCGACAAGTGTTGCCACTCTGACTCGCGTCGTCGGTCATCTTTCTTGAGTTCGACTTGACTAACTACGGTGGGTGCGGGGATGATGGAGGTTGCTGCAGGCGGGAGGGGACGAGCCTCACTCTACACCTGGCTGCCTGACACCACTGGAGAACAAGTGCAGGCTAGCATGTTGCACGCGCGTGTCATTCACTCTGTTCGGCTTCCTCCTCTGCGCAGGGCTGGATCTAAGGCTATGTTGCTGGATTTCGGCTGTGTTCTGCCTTTCGTGCTGGCAGGGAGGTACAGGAAGACAGGTCGAGTAAAACGAAAGGCCAAACGAAAACAGAACGAAAAACAACGCTCAGGTCCAGCCCTGCCTCTGGGTATCAGGTATGATGGATCGGTCCTCTTCCCCACTCCACTTCGCGGCCTGGCGGGCGCATGCTCTGTGCCCTCGGGGCCCCCGTCCTTTGTCTCGCATCTCTTAGCCCTTACCTTTTACCGGCTGCGCCCGCCAGGATCAAATCATTTTGCCCTCGGCCTCAGTCGGCTCACTGTTTTTCTTGCACGCCCAGAACGCAGCGATCTCTGATCCATGTCCGCGCAACGTACAAAAAACGAGGAGAAGGAGGAGGAGGCTGAGGAGGAGGAGGAGGATGAGGAGGAGGAGGAGGAGGGGATCGGGGATTGATGAGGCTGTGGACGTCTCTGGGCGCCTTCTGAAGGGTTCTGGAGGATCCAGGGGGGAAGGGGCTTATCGAGGTTTCCCCAAGGAGGCGGTGACCCCTTCTTCGTAGTGACCCCCTTGGCCTTGCCTGGGGGGCGGCAGTGCTCCAGCACCTGCCAGTCTCGAGCACCGCCCTCCTGGCCCTCTTGGGGCGGCGGCGAGCGAGGGGCGGGGGAGTGAGGAGAAGAAGTCCGTCTCGGAAGGCGGCGGGATGTTGCAGATGCCCTCGCGCCTTCTGAGAAGTTTTTGTTTGTGTCTTCGGTGAAGGGGCAGAAACCTTCCCAGAAAGCTGGGGGACGTCCGAGCGTTCTGAGAAGGCCCGCCCCCTCTCACTTCCCCCTCTCGCTGTCCGTCGGCTGGAGGGAGCAGGGGTGCGCCAGTCTCAGAGTGGCCGCCCGCGAGCTGCGGGCGCCGTCGTCGCACCATCGGGGAAGCGTGAGCTCTCCTCCCATCTGCCGTCATGGAGCCTCGTCTCTCGTTGGGACTTCGCCGAGGAGAACCCGCAGGCCGTGGAGCAGGATGACGTCGACCTGCCGCCAGGGTCGCTGACAGACGCAGGCCTGGAAACGGCCAAAGCGTTCGGCATCACAGCTTCCAGCAATGGCCACACCGTCGAGAGGAGTCGCACCGAAGCCGGCCCGGCGATCGCGCCCGGCTCGCGCGTCGTTGTGCATGGAATTGTGGCGCAGCCACACTTGAACGGCCAGTTCGGCACGGCCGTCGAGTTCGACGAGGCCGAGGGGCGCTGGAAGGTCGCGATGGATGACGGGGGCGGGAAGATGCTGAGGCCAGGGAACCTGGCGGCCTGTGGCCAGGCCTCGGGGGGGGCGCCAACACAGACCCCCGACGTCTTGAGAAGCCCAACGGGCGCGAGTGTTTCACCTCGTCGGCCTCCGGGGGCCCTCGCCGGGCCCCAGGGCCGCCAGGAGACGGCCCAGGATGAAGGGCCAGCCCCGGGAAGGAGGTCCAGGCCTCCAGGGACCCGCACTGAGAAGCTCAAGACGTTGGATGTCTGGGCAATCCTCCTCTTCCTCCGCCCGCCTATTCCCCGAAGGGTCACGTGATCCCCAAATGTTACATGATTTGGCCAGTAAACTTCTCCAGGAGTGTGGCTGTCGGGATCGGTCGGCCTCATAGTATCCGGCGCTTTGTTGTCCAGTTTGGTCCACAAAACCGCATTGTGGAACGTTTCATCATCATCATCATCATCATCATCATCATCATCATCATCATCATCATCATCATCATCATCATCATATCATCATCATCATCACACCACCACCACCACCACCACCACCATCATCATCATCATCATCATCATCATCATCATCATCATCATCATCATCATCATCATCATCATCATCATTATCATCATCATCATCATCAGCAGCAGCAGCAGCAGCAGCAGCATCATCATCATCATCATCATCCCCCCTGCCCATCTCCCCCCTGCCCTCGAGCATTGAGGTTTGGGCCTGCGTGTAAGGCCTCGACCGTCAGAGCGCGAGAGGCCGCACACGATTGTAGGCCTCGGCGCCGGAGCTGCCGCAGAGCACCCGGGTCGCAGAGCGCCAGAAAACGGATCCTTTCCTCCTCGCAGTCGCAGTCTAGCGCCCACCCCTCCTCCCACCTCGGCGACGAGGAAGACGCGCCCCGAGGCCGACGGGCAGTCCGCGGGCTTCGCACCGGCGGCGCCCGCTGCCGCGCCCGCGGGCGGCAGCGCGGCCGACGCGGCCTGCGGGGTGATCTCGCCGGGAGCGGGTGCGGGCCGAACAATTTTGATTCTTTATCGCCGAGGGGGGGTGGGCGTCTTTTATCGTCCTCCTCCTCCTCCTCCTCCTCCTCCTCCTCCTCCTCCTCCTCCTCCTCTTTCTCCTCCTCCTCCTCTTCCTCCTCCTCCTCCTTCTACTCCTCTTCCTCCTCCTCACCCTCCGCCTCCTCTGCCGCCGCCGCCGCGGTCGTCGTCGTCGTCGTCGTCGTCGTCGTCGTCGTCGTCGTCGTCGTCGTCTGGGGGGAGGCGGGTCGGCTACGGGCACGGGGCGCCGCTCTCGCCGATGTGGCCCCCCGCGCCCGAGTGCAAGGGGCTCGGTGCCCCAAAAGTCGGAGCGGCGGCAGAGCTCGGGAGCGGAAAAGATGGGGGTGATGACTAGGGGGGGGGGTGGATATCATGGCGGGGGCCATGATATTTCCCAGATTTCATGGCGCCTCTTCTTATTTCATTACGTCCCTGGCCCCCCCGGGGGGCCGCGCACATGCCGCCGGTCATGATTTGCACCCCCCCCTCTTAGACACCCCCCTCTTTGCCGCTCCCGAAGAGCGCGGGCGGGGCGTGGGGCGGGCGATCGCTAGCGACGGCGGGCACTCACAGCGAGACGGCGGGCTGCTGGGGGGGGGGTGAGACCCTTCGCCAGAGGGACCTTTGGTGCGGGCCTACGGGGCTCTCCCCAGCAATGGCCTCTGCGCTTGGAGTTGGCCCACCCGCGGCCCCCCCCGAGGCCGCGCAGCCAAGGTCGCTCGTGCCCAGGGCCAATCTTGCGTGTGCACGGCTCCGGGGGGGGGGGGGGTCGGAGAGGGGGTGAGAGTTTTTCTGTTCAGGAGGTGGTCGAAGAGGGGGATCGGGGATGTTGAGGATGCGGATGATCGAGGAGAAGAACCTGGTTCTGAAGAGGCCGATCGAGGAGGAGGAGGAGGAGGAGGAGGAGGAGACGGCGGAGAGAAAGGGAGCGGGACGAGGAGAAGGAGGAGGACAAGGAAAACCAGTGTAATTTCAATACCCATCAACGATGTTGCAATAGACCCTCCGTCCAAGTTGCTTCTTCATAGGTCCTTAAAACAAGTCGTTCTCATTGCTGGAAGTGGCCCATTAATAACCAATTGCTTGAGAATCTCAAATCGCGCCAAAGCTCCATTCTCACTGCGAATCAATGTTACTGTTGCGCCCTGATGATCCTGAAGCGCGCCAGAACGCCATTCTGGGACTTCAACACCGCGAATCAACGTGACTGTTGCGCCCTGACAATCCTACATCGTGCCAAAACACAACTTCTAGGACTTTGGCCATACGGCTTCTTGAAACTATTGTGGACCTGTAAGACGAATGCTCGTGGAGCTCAGGCGACAGCTACATTTTGAAAGGGACCGCCCTCCATCCGTGAAGCTGCAGCCTTGTTCCTGAGCCCGACAGATTGCCGAAAGGCATATGCATGTAGGACCAATCTTTCGCGCGTGTCCATGCGAGTATTTGTGTGCAAGTGGCCGTGAACCTCACTCGATGAACATGAGTCACGCGACCAGGAGCAGTCATCACAGGTCACGGCTGGAGCGCTGTCGTAATCCATGTGGCACACCGTATACGAGGACGAATACATACCGAAGAGGGTTTGCGGTTCCCGCTTGTAGGGTGCCAAGTCCGAACCCCTGACGCCGAAAGTCCATTAACCTGGATGGGCGCCAGACTTCCACCAGCAGGCAAAGTGTTTATTTGTGTAAGCGGTACTAGTACCCGAATTCCCAGTTTTATGTGAAAACATCTAGCTGCCTGCGGCAAGTCCCGCCACCGTCCCAGCCCAACATTCTGGCGGGCGATTTTTCGTGGCAGCGCGGGAGGCCGGCACGAGTGGCACTTCGTGTCTCTAGGGTTGGGAGAGCCGTGATGAGGATGATGATTCTAATGATGTTGGTGATGGTGATGACGAGGTTGATGCAATTGATGGCGGTGGTGGTAATGGGGATGCTTTTTCGTGTATTTAAAACTATGATGATGGTGATGAGGATGGTGAGGTTGATGAAGTTGATGATGATTATGATGAGGGGGATGAGGAGTGTGATGAGGAGGAGGAAGTTTATGATGTTGTTGTTGCTGATGGTACGGGTGAGGATGATTCTGAGGATGCTGATTTGGATGATGACGGTGATGATGATGCTGATGATGATGATGACTACGATGATGATAACGATGACGATGATGCTGACCGTGCAGCTGCTGATGATGAGGATTACAATGATGCTGCTGACGACGATGATGCTGACGATTATGATGACGATGCTGATGATGACGATGGTGGTCATGGTGATAATGATGATGATGCTAATGATGATGATGATGATGATGATGATGATGATGATGATGATGATGCGGATGCATCTGCTGATGCTGATACTTATGATGGATATTAAGGTGAAGCTGCTGGTGGTAATGATGATGTTGATGGTGATGATGATGTTGATGATAATGGTGATGATGATCATGGCAATGATTATGATGCTGATGATGATGCTGATGATGATGATGATGATGATGATGATGGCAATGACTATGAGAATGATGACTACGGTGATGACTAGGATGATGATAACGATGACGACGATGCTGACTCTGCTAATGATGAGAATGGTGATTCCAGTGATGCTGCTGACGACGACGATGATGCTGACGATGATGATGGCGATGGTGATGATGATGGTGGTGGTGATGATGGTGATGCGGATGCTGCTGCTGATGGTGATAACGATGGTGAGTGTTGGGGTAAAGATGAGGATGCTGATGATGTTGATGATGTTGATGCTACTGATGATGATGGTGATGGTGATAATGATGATTCCGATGCTGATGATGATGATCGTGCTGAAGTTGATGAGCATGGTGATGATGATGATGATGATGATGATGATGATGATGATGATAATGGTTATGATGATGACTACGATGACGTTGATGTTGATGATGATGACGGTTCTCATTATTAAGAAGATGAATATGGTTATGATGATGATGATGATGTTGATGATGCCGATGCTGATGCTGATGCTGATGCTGATGCTGATGCTGCTAATGATGATGATGATGCTGATGATGATGATGATGAGGAGGAGGAGGAGGAGGAGGAGGAGGAGGAGGAGGAGGAGGGGGCTGCGGGGGAGCGACTGAGTGACGAGGAGCTCTGCCTGACAGCGCGCACGCTTTTGGGCCAGGACCTGTCTCCGCCTGACACTCTCTGCGCTAACCGCACCCGTACGGGCCCGCGCGCAGGCCCCTTGCCTGTGGCGAGCGACTCCGCGGCAGAGGACACCACGCTTTGCGGTGTTCCTGCGGCGGCGGCGTCGTGGCGGCCAGCCCGTCGACCCCCGAAATCCTCGACATAGAGGCACAGCGCGTCGGCTGTCCGAGGCTGTTTATAGATGTGACAGTCCGGTACGCCTTGCCAGGAGACGCGGCGGGCTTGAGCCGCGGCCGCCGGCCGTGACGGAGGCAGTGGCTGCCGCAGCGGAGGCGGGCAAGAGGCAGCGGTGCCCCGAGGGCCGTTGCCGTTGGCCAGCGCTTCCTTTGGCCCTCAAGACAGGAGGGCGCCACGGCAAGGCCGCCTTGCGCCACTTCCGGCAGCTGGCGCGCGACCAGGCACAGCTGGTCGACGAGGACAGGGCCGGGGCGGTCTGCGGCGCTCTCTGCCAGCGCTGGGGAGCAGAGTTGTCCGTGACCTTGCACAAGGCAACGGCCCGGCAGCTCCGGAGCTGCGCAGGCAGCCGCGAGGACGCGGCGGCTCTGCGCGAGGCAGGGGCCGCTTGAGCCATCTTGAGCCCGCGATGTGTAATCATTGTGTGGGGCCCGCGGACTGACTCACCTCTCCCCCTGCTGCTGCCTGGTGGCCCGCCTCTGTCCCTTCCCTTTTTGCTGCCAGGAGGAGGAGGAGGAGGAGGAGGGGGAGGAGGAGGAGGAGAAGGAGGAGGAGGAGGAGGAGGAGGATGGGCAGGAGAAAGAAGGGGACGGCCGTCACACGTATTCACGATTTGAGGAGCGCCCATGGAACTCATTTAGACTGTCTTCGGGCTGTCTTGGCCTCCGGTGCGGCAGTCTTTGGGTTCCCTGGGGGCTCCCTTGGGCTGTCGTGAAGCCCTCCTGCGCCGCCTTGGGGCTTTTTTGGGCCATTGTGGGGCCCTGTTAATTGGCCGTGTGGTACGTGTCCGGGGGCCGTCGGGGGGCCGTCCTGAGCCGCTGCAAGGCTATCCAAGGCCGTCTCGAGTTCCACGGAAGGCTCTCTTGGGCCGTGTTGGGGGGCCGTTATTGGATGCCTCTTGGGCCATCGTGGGACCTCTTGGCCATTCTGGGACCCCCTTAGGGCCCTCCTGGGCCGTCTTGGACCATTGTGGGGGCTTTTTGGGCCGTCTTGAGATGACGGAAGCTTGAAAAGGCGAGAATGCGAGACCCACCAGAACCATTCAATTAGGGACATCAATAACATTGGCGTGTTCGGACCTTGTTGGAAGTCCCCCTGTGGCCTCTTTGGGCCTCCTTGGAGGCATCTTGGATGGTCTCGAGGCCATATTGGGCCGCCTTGGGGCCATTTGGGGCCGTCTTCGCGGCATCTTGGGCAATCTGTTGCCTTTGATTGCGTGTATCGGCAGCCTTTGAAGCTCGGGACGCGGATCCATCGTTTTGTTGATGGATCGTAGCTTCGGGAGCGCGGACCCAGTCTGCTTTTCACCAAGGATCGTGGCCTCGGCAAGGGGGGCGGTGCATGCAGGTAGACGCGTCCCTGGTGGGGGGGGGGGCGGGGGCCTTTTTTATGAGAATGCGGAAACCATACCAGACAGCTCTTGGCATTCCTCTGGCATTCTTCCACGCCTCAACGTGCACAAGGCACGATGGCGGATGAACGCATCGTTGCTTCAACAATTTAGTCAGTGACCTCAGGATAACCGGCGTGCGCGCGTTAGGTTCGCATTGAGTGCCCAAGGTTTTGTTGCGCCATGTCCAGTTCGGAGAGTTTGGCTTTCGAATCGCCCAGGTGCTAGGCAATCGTTTGATGAAGACGATGGTTCATCCGGGAACGTCGGAGTATCGATAAGTTCGATGTTTGCGAATATCCCCGAGCAGTGAACGGGGTGTTTGAAGCTTGTCCCATGAAGCCACGTGAGTGAAATGTCAGGAATCAATTATTAGAAGCTGTGAAAGGTGAGATGTGCTCGTGGTCAGGCCAGAAGAGCATACCAATGGGGAGACTACAAATACTCCTGCATTTCCCTGTTGACGAAAAATCAGCGCTACGGTGGATCAGGCGGGAGTCAGACATGCGAAACGGAACGGTGCCCGCTCCCAGAGAGATCAACGACAGTGCAGTTCAGTCTGGGGTCTTCGAAGCCGATTGAGATACACGCCGTTGATCCGACGACGATTCAGTCTGGAAAAACGCCGACAGCTACAGGGGTGCAAGTGTGGCACATCAATCACTCAAGGAAGTTAGGCTGGATCGGCAGCGCCAGAGGCCATCAAAGAACACATGATGGGTGTTCGTGGACTTGAGAAGGAGGCCTGGGCCTCCTCAGAAGCGAGACCCCCTGTCGAAACATGTTCGGGACGCATGTCCACATATTATGCATCCTTGTACTCCCCTAGATGTTCTTGTTGGCACAGCAAGGTGTCGTTCCATTCGACGATGCATCATGGCGTGCGCATGCTATGATCAACGCAAGAGGTTGATAGGTTTTCCGTGGCCCGGCGGTATCCCTGATCATTGCAGCATTTCTCTTAGCGCCCACAAGGGCGAGCTCGCTTAAGAGCAGCCCATCCCATTCATCAGATGTTCGTAGAGGTTGTCAGCGCTGCATTCGTTGGTGTGGGCCTGGCGTATCCATCGTTTCTGGCCCGCCGTTCAGCTCTTATTATTTGAACGTTCATGATGTGTCATACTCGTAAGCTGTTTGCTCTGAGGTAGTTAGATTTCCCTCGTGACACTTCTGAGCGGGACAGGGACGATACGTTTCACAGGCTGCTTGAGCACGGTCAGTGCTAAGAATCTACCCCCAGCGTAGGTGGTCTGATACGTGTAGGGTCCCAAGAGTGTGCACGTTTCGAGCTTCTCCCGAACAACAGTGAGCATCGGGTCTTGCATGCGTATGTGCACTAGTTCCCATCGGCGATTCAGGGCATAGCACGGCAGCATGTGATGCATAGCTGAGCCAATAGCAGTTGCCATGTTTTACACACCTGCTCATACATATATCATGATCGGCATAGGCGTTTGTTACAGTTTGCAAGTCCCCCCCATCCAAAACAAAAACAATGACGGCACAAGATATCGCCCTCTTTATATTCCGAGGGTTCTTTCTGTCTTTGTCGCGCACCCCAATTCAGGCCAACTTCTCATTCTCTTCCGCCCCGACCTCCTTCTCCATCGTCGGACAATGGCTCCCCTTCTCCACTATCTTATCGTCGCGTGTCATTCCTCCCCGTATTTCATTATCCAGCATTCTCCCAGAATTGATGCGGTCTAGGAGGAGGGAAGCAGAGGTGTACGTTGAAGCCTGGATGTGCACAGGATCTCGCGTCTTCGTGGCTGGCGTCAGGGCGCAGCCGCACTTGAATGGCCAGCTAGGCACGGCCGTCGAGTTCGACGTGACCGCGGGACGCTGGAAGGTGCGAGCATCGCAAGAACAAGTTTTCTGCCCGCGCGCTCGTTTTCTATTTTCTCTGGCCACCAGGCACATTCTCATCTGCCAGGCCCAGCTCGAAAAGAGAGTCGGGACGATGTCAGGGAGGAAGCGAAGACGAATTCCGAGAGAATTTGCGCCAGGAGGGAGGCAGTTTTTTTGTTTGGCGAGAATATTTTGGACAGGTGGGGCCCCACAGTGTCGAAATTCAGTTGGATTAACATTCGTTTGTTGTTCCTTCCGACGTTCATATCGTGATACCCACTGGGGGACTCGAGCGAGATGACATGTACGTATGACATGTAACTTCAAATCAACTTGGTTTTTATTTTTGCGGTCCTGGCTTCGGAAGGTGGTGATGGACGACGGGAGCAAGAAAATGTTCAAGCCCGTAAATCTGGGTGCCAGTGCAGAGGCAGCGCAGGCGATCGGACAGAGTAGCCCTTCGGGCAAGCACAGTCCCCATGCAGCCGCCGCAGTATCATCGGAAAGAGCACCAGGCCCCTCGACATCATACTACCTTCCTGCTGCAACTTTTTCGACAGCGACTTCAATAGCAAGGGAAACCCCTCGGCAATCATCGTTGAACTGCGACGCTATTGGGGTCGTTCATGCAGGTTCTCGTGTCATCGTATCTGGAATCAGGGCTCAGCCTCACTTGAATGGCCAGCTCGGCACAGCGGTCGAGTTCGATAGCGCCGAGGAGAGGTGGAAGGTAGTCATGGACGACGGGAGCAGAAAGATGTTCAGGCCAGGGAGCCTGACTGCGTGCGAGCACATGCCAGCTCCTGTGCGTGCCGATGCGGAGCCCAGGCAAGCAACCGCGAGCTGCACTCGGGAGGGCGGCATTGCGACGGAGGCAGGCGGCGCCCCAGCGCTGACCGCCATCCAGCCAGGGTCTCGAGTCGCCGTGTCGGGCACCGGAGCTCCGGTGCGCCTGCACGGCCAGGTCGGCACGGCAGTCGAGTTCGACGAGCACGAGGATCGCTGGAGCGTCGCCCTGGACGACGGGAGCCAACACAGGCTTATGATGTTCCAACCTGCTCAGAACCTTGATCACCAGAAAGAATTTCGAGCACCAAGAAAGTGCCGAAGCTTGAGGCATGTCACGCGTCGGGCCCTGGGAGACACCGTTCCGACACCGCTTCGGCACTGTTTCGGCACCCTCTCGACACTTTTCCAGGTGCTCGACACCCCAGAGATCCGACGTCGTGATTTTTTCAAAACGGGGTCCCTGGAGGTCTCGATCCATTCCCCGGGACCGGTTTTTCGTCCTGAGTCGTTTTTTGACGGTCCCGGGGCCCGGCGAGGGCTCCTTGAGGCCGAAGATGGCTCAATACGTTGGATCTCTGGGACTACCTCTGGGATGTGGCCCTCGAGCACCATGGCAGCACCACAGACACAGGCTCCGACCTGCAGACCTGGCGCCGTGCGAGCCGGCCTCGGCGGCGACGGCCGCCGGCCCCGCGCGCGCGGCCGAGGCCACGCCTGCAGCGGGGCTGGCGCCCGTGGCGGGGGGCGCGGGCCCGCCTGCGGGGGCGGGCGGCGCCGCCGCCGCAGGGCGCGTCGCGGCGGGCTCGCGCGTCGTCGTGCCCGCCGCTCAGAGGACGTCGATCCCTCCTCCTCCTCCTCCCCCTCCTCCTCCTCCTCCTCCTTCTCCTCCTCCTCCTCCTCCTCCTCCTCCTCGGGGTCGGCAGCGGAGGTCCCTAGCGAGCCGCCGGCCCATGGATCTTCCGCCGGGGCTTCAGGGGCCTCCGGCGCGGCTCGGCTTGCGTGGGCTCGCCGGCCCATTGGTGGGAGCTCTCGGCCCCTTCCCCCCGGGGACTGGCTCTTCAGATCTCTTCAGGGCTAGGTAGTGTTCTGGCGTTCTCTGGAGGCGGATGGTGACGAATTGCACCGGCCTGGAAACCTTGAGCACCAACGCTGGACTTCAAGACACATGGTAATTAGGCACAGCACGACACGGCCTTTTTTTTTACACCGCACTAAAAGCAGGCACGGCACGGCACTCTGTCCGCATGCTAAGAACCAGTCACGGCGCGGCTCAGCGCGTTGCGCTACGGCAGTTTTCTCGCATTTTGAAAACCAGGCATTGCGCGGCACAGCAACCCTTTCAGTTTTCAATTCCAGGCTCTGAGAGACACGGCACGGCCACTTCCGCATCCTGAGATCCAGGCACGGCACGGGATGGCACGGCTTTTTTTCGCACCTTTCCAAAAAACCGGCGCGGTTCGCTCGGCACAGTACGGCTTTGCAGTTGTTCCACATTTTGGGTACGGCAAGTGTTCTGAATTCTGAACACCAGCCACGGCGCGGCACAGCAATTCGTTCGCATGAATACCAGACACGGCATGGCACGGCAATTGTTGCGGGCAATATTTATATCGATATCCAGTGCGTCTTGGATTTTCTTGGAAGGGGCGCCGCAAGGCCGAGGCGCACTGGATATGGATGACAATCGAGCCTTTTGGAGGCAGATTATAATCCATATCCAGTGCGCCTCATGTTTCTTGGGAAGAGTGTCCGAAACTCCAAGACGCACTGGATGTGGATGAAGACATTGCCCGCAAATGTTCCGCATTCCGAAAACCATGCATGGCACGGTCCGGCACGGCAGTCTGAAACGCATGGCACGGCTCTCTTTCGTTTTTCTGGAAACCGGGCACGGCACGGCAGTTGCTTCGCATCGTTGACAAACCCCGGCGCGGATCAGCACGCGTGGCGCGGCAATTGTCGCGCGGTTTCAGGATACGGTGCGGCCTGGCCCTGTACGCATTCGGCTCGCACCCTCGAACCGCACGGCACGGCGCGACAGTTCTTCCGCACTCCAAAAACTTGGGCGCACTGCGGCACGTCACGGCACGCGGACCCGTGAAGAAAACGGAACGGCACGGCACTGCAATTCCTTTCTGAAGCCAGGCGAAGGCTGGCCAACCCGTGGCTGCTGGAACGGAGCTCCGGGAAATTGTTTTTTCTTCCAGGAAGCAGCCCGTGTTTACTATTTGGTGCGCTGAGCTTGATTCTCCGGGAACTTGTTTTTCCTTCCAGGAAGACCGTTTTAGCAGCCACGGATTTGCCAGCCCTCGCCCAGCTTCCAATCCTTGCGCATGCCAGAACCCAGGAGCGTGCTTCTTTATTGCCTGGGGCATCATGGGCATCATGGCCCCTGGCCCCCCTCCCTCCCCCCACTGTAACGTGACGCCCCCCCCCACCCAGTGCTCTCCGGGCACTGCCGCCGCGCGCACGGCCTTGGACGCCCCCCTCTTGGCCGCTCCCGAATTGAGGAGCCGGAGCCGCAGGGCGGGCTTCCGTTTTCTGGCGCCGCTGCGGCTTGCTCGACCTTGCAGCGGGTCCCGAAGGGCCTTCCCTGAGCGTTTCCCAACATGAGTGCCCGGAAGATCTCCAGAAGGTCCTTCGGAAGCTCTGTTCAGGTCCTTCGAGAGATCTTCGCCAAGCCTTTCCACGACCTTCGGGCGCCCTGCTATCTGGGTTTTGGATTGCACAGGTTTCGTAATGTGGGAATCAAAGGCCGCCTTTCTCAACATAATTGAAACGTATATTGCAGAATTCGCTGTTCAGGTAAACGAGGCCTGCGCGCTTGCTCGAACCGCCAGAGGTCTGGCTACATGTTGAGCTGGGCCGTTGACCCATCCATCGTCTACTGGGTGACTGTCAGCTTCCCTGACGTTCCCAGTGCCCCGAGTGTCTGGGATGAGAGGAGGATGGGCCGGTCGGCCAGACAGATCGGGATCGCAGGAACGATGCGGAGGAGGGGGAGGATGACGAGGAGGAGGAGGAAAGGGGAGGAGAAGGAGGAGGAGGAGGAGGAGGAGGATCTGCTCATCCTGGGACGCCCGCGCTTGCCCTTCTCCCCTCCTCTCCACCTCTGGCATGGTGGTTAGGTTTGAGTTGGGCAGGGGCAAGGGCACAGACACACTTAATCGTCGATTCACCAGAAATCATAAGAAAATATGGGAAGTTGGGGGTGAAGACAAAAACCCAGAAAATATAGAAAATGATGGGGAATCCTGTTATTCCCCACATCCAGAGTGGGGTTCTTGTTTTCCCAGGACGCCCTCTCCTTCCCACCTTCCCACCTTCCCACCTTCCCACCTACCGCTCCCTCTTCCTATTCCTACCATACCATACTATGCCATACCATGCAATACCGCTCCCTCTTCCTACTCCTACCATACCATACTATACCATACAATACCATACCATACTATAGCAGACCACCGTACCTACCATACCACACCTAGGAAACCATACATACACCATCACCGCATACCTACCACACCATACAATACCATACAATACCTACCTACCACGCCCCGCCAGAGCGAGGACATTATTCGCAAACCATATTATCTATCAGGTTTCGTGCCCCTCCCACCCCTCCAGGGAGGCCCCGCCAGAGCGAGGACAGCATTCGCAAACCATATTATTTATTAGGTTTCGTGCCCCTCCCACCCCTCCAGGGAGGCCCCGCCAGAGCGAGGACAGTATTCGCAAGCCATATTATTTATCAGGTTTCGTGCCCCTCCCACCCCTCCAGGGAGGCCCCGCCAGAGCGAGGACAGTATTCGCAAACCATATTATTTATCAGGTTTCGTGCCCCTCCCACCGCTCCAGGGAGGCCCCGCCTGAGCGAGGACAGTATTCGCAAACCATATTATTTATCAGGTTTCGTGCCCCTCCCACCCCTCCAGGGAGGCCCCGCCAGAGCGAGGACAGTATTCGCAAACCATATTATTTATCAGGTTTCGTGCCCCTCCCAGCGCTCCAGGGAGGCCCCGCCAGAGCGAGGACAGTATTCGCAAACCATATTATTTATCAGGTTTCGTGCCCCTCCCACCGCTCCAGGGAGGCCCCGCCAGAGCGAGGACAGTATTCGCAAACCATATTATTTATCAGGTTTCGTGCCCCTCCCACCGCTCCAGGGAGGCCCCGCCAGAGCGAGGACAGTATTCGCAAACCATATTATTTATCAGGTTTCGTGCCCCTCCCACCGCTCCAGGGAGGCCCCGCCTGAGCGAGGACAGTATTCGCAAACCATATTATTTATCAGGTTTCGTGCCCCTCCCACCGCTCCAGGGAGGCCCCGCCAGAGCGAGGACAGTATTCGCGAACCATATTATTTATCAGGTTTCGTGCCCCTCCCACCCCTCCAGGGAGGCCCCGCCAGAGCGAGGACAGTATTCGCGAACCATATTATTTATCAGGTTTCGCGCCCCTCCCACCTCTCCAGGGAGGCTCCACCAGAGCGAGGAGGGTATTCGCGAACCATATTATTGATCAGGTTTCGTGCCTCTCCAACCCCTCCAGGGAGGCCCCGCCTGAGCGAGGAGGGGCCCCTGCCACCCCTCCAGGGAGGGTATACGAATACCATACTATTTATCAGGTTCGGCCCCGCTCTTGGGCTGTCGTTCCGATTTGCACTATCTTGGCCGCGTCGTGTACGCGAGGTGTTCCCCAAAACATTTGCCTGCACATCGCCATCGCCAATTGCAGTCTTCGTCGCCCCCGTCACCCGGCCATCCTCGTCGACCCCTCCCCCCGCACCTCCGCCTCTTCCTCTTCCTCCTGACTAAGCCCGCGCCCTATCAAAACGCCCATGTGGGGAACTCCGTTAGCATAATTAGTGTATTTTTTTTTGTGTGTCCCAGGGCCCCCTCACCGGTCCTTCCTTTTCCTCCCTCTCTTGGAGTGTGTGCCACGAGCCCGAACTTTTCGGCTGCGAGCGAGCTAAGTCCGAGGAGGAGGAGGAGGAGGAGAAGGAGGAGAACAGGACAGGTCATCCACATAAGGGGGTCAACGTCGAAACGCCCGCAAAGGAGCTGCGGGGTACGACTAGCAAAATCCCCTGCGCTTTGAGTATGCCGCAGACCCAGACTTCTCATGGGGAGAGGAGGAGAAAGAGGAGGAGGAGGAGGAGGAGGAGGAGGAGGAGGAGGAGGAGGAGGAGGAGGAGGATCGCGTGTTGACATCCGTGTCTCTGGCCCAACTCGTCCCGAGCTCCTCGGCCAGCATGGAGCCTCGGGAGTCCCCCGATAGGCTTCGTCGAGGGCCATGTTTGGGGGCCGTTGGGGCTTCTCTGGGCAGCCCTGAGGACACCTTCGGCCAGGATCACTCCTATCAGCGCGCCCGTGAGGTACATACGAATTGCCGATCGGGCCATTGGGGTTCTCAGGGGCAAGGTCACAGGGGGGATAGGCTCAGAGGGCAGCGCATCGCTCCACAATGCGCCCATTCATCGCCGACAGTAGGGGAACGACAATGGTACAAACAAAGAAACTTGGAGGTCCGCACGGATTTCTTGGATCCGCGCTGGACCTTCATGGACCTTCTTCCCTGGCGCGCGGAGCGCGCCAGGGGCGGCGCCAGAGGCGCCGCCAGGGGACCCCAGCGCCGATCCGAGAAATCCGCGTGGGCCTCCGAGTTTTCATGCTGATGAAATTGCTCGCTCCCCTCGAGAAGGGGCTGGATAGCCCGCCCCCGCCCTGGAACGTGCGGATTCGCTCCACCGAAAAATCGGTGGCCCGTCGCGGCACCCACGAGCCCCTGCCCCCGCGAGCGGCGGCCCGGCGTCCCTCGTGGCCCCCCGCCGCGGCCGCGCGCAGAACCGTTCGTGGCATTCTGCCGCACGGGTGCCGCTCACCTTCTGTCAGGACGGGGCGGGTGGATCGGCGTACCCATCGGTCGTTGAAAGTAGGTAGTTCTGGATTCCCAGGTCCCAATCTTCTTCCAGCGCCTTCCTGCTTCAATGATCGAGTGGCTTCGACCTCTTCCCTCCTCTTCAGGGGGCGGACGGAGACCCAATCCACGTTCAGCGCCGTCCTGCTTCATGGATCTCCCCACTTCTTCCGACCGATGGGTGTAGGTTTCTGAGGTGCGGCCTCCGAGCGCAGCCTCACCTGAACGGCCAGCTCGGCACGGCCGTGGAGTTCGACGAGGCAGAGGGGCGATGGAAGGTGGCGATGGACGACGGGAGCGGCAAGATGTTCGGGCCTCAGGAGTTTGGAGCCGGAGGTCGGGGTCCAATCAGGCCGTTGAGCTGGCCGATCCGTCGGACGATCGAGATCGGGACAGTTGGTCGGGCCCTCGACCAGCAGGATGCGCCGCGCAGTCTGAGCTGGACATGATCTGCCGGATGAGGAGCAGATGCAGGTCTTGGATCAGCTTGGTTCGGAGGGGGGCTCCTAAGGTTCAGGCCCGCCAATGTGACGAGTCTCCAGCATGCGGCGCCGGCTCCAGCTGCGTCTGAGTCAGAGCTGGCGCCCGCAATTGGGAGCAGCGATGCTAGCAAGCTCGCTTCGAAAGTAGATAGTTCCGAGGATCGTCATGTGATTATGCCTGGATCACTTGTCGTCGTATCTGGCATCCGAGCCGAACCACATTTGAACGGTCAGCTTGGTACGGCAGTCGAGTTCGACGAGATCGGGAACCGTTGGAAGGTATTGATGGGTGATGGTTGTGGGAAGATGTTTAAGCCAGCGAACTTGGCAGCATTTGACTCGACAGAGGCGGCTCCAACAGTCGCTCGCGCGGATGTAACGCCGTTAGTTCTGGAACCAGATATAGCGCAATTATCTCTGAGTAGCAAGTGTGTTATCGAGCATACTCCACAGGCAGGCTGCCCAGAAAGCACCCAGGCCATCACAGCAGGGTCGAGGGTCACTGTATGTGGTGTCAGAGCGCAGCCTCACTTGAACGGCCAGTTCGGTACGGCTATCGAGTTCGACAACGCAGAAGGTCAGCCACGCGTAGAGGGGAGTAGAGGGAGGGGGAAGGCTTCTCAGGAGCACCCCAGCTTCTTATATCCTCTTAGAAGGTGCGGGCTGTGTCTGTATGTGTAAGGCTAGCGCCATCTAAGAAGCAGGCTCCTCTAAGAAGCCTTCCCCCCTCCCCCTAGCCCCTGCTGCGCGGCGCTAAGAAGGACGATGGAACGTAGTAATGGACGACGGCAGCGGAAAGCTGCTCCGGCCTGCGAACTTGACCGTGTGCGGCGATGCCCCTCCAGCTCGAGATGTGGCCGAATCGGCAGGATCGTGCCCAGTGGGTGTCCCTGGCATCGAGCTTAGTTCGAGGAACGTGGTTCGCCGATGGAGGCTCTCTTGTAAATCACTGCAACGCTGATCCGCCTATTGATCATGATCGGCGCCAGTTGAGTCATCGATCAATGTCTTGCTTTGCGGTTTGGGCTGGACCGGTCCGGCTGGATCGCGATCGGTGTCGGGCGTTGGATCAGCCGCGATCGGGGCTCCAAGGCATCGAGCCTTCTGCTGGGAGCATTGGCGCTGCGGAGGTCGGGCCAGAGATCACGTCAGGATCGCGTGTCATCGTGTCTGGCATCAAGGACAAGCCTCATCTGAATGGCCAAATCGGCACGGCGATCGAGTTCGACAAGGCAGAATGCCGATGGAAAGTAGCGATGGATAACGGAGACGGGAAGATGTTCAGACCAGCAAACATTTCTTTGTGCGAGCGGATGCCAACAGTTCCTGTTCCTATTTTTTCTGAGGTGACTTGTGCTGAAGAAGCTGGTCATGGAATCGTACCTGGATCGAGGGTCACACTGGCCGGCCTCAAGACGCAGCCTCACATGAATGGCATGTCTGGCACGGCCGTCGATTTCGATGAGGCAGAGGGGCGATGGAAAGTGGCTATGGATGACGGGAGCGGGAAGCTATTGCGAGCAGCTAATCTGGTTGTGACAGACCGAGCGCCCACAACACCTGCAGGGTCGAATCTAGATCACTTTGGTAGCCGCAGTGTCAGCAACGAGTACTGCTCTAGCGAAGTTGGTACAGGAGCCCCTCCTGCGATCGTGCCTGGGTCGCGCGTCGTTTTGTCAGGCATCAAGGCTCAGCCTCACCTGAATGGGCAGTTCGGCAGAGCAGTCGAATTCGACGTGAACGAGCAGCGGTGGAAAGTGGCGATGGACGACGGGAGCGGGAAGCTGCTCAAGGTGACGAATTTGACAGTGAGTGACTCGGCACCTGCAGCACTGGCGGCTGCCAAGTCGGAGCTGGCGCCAGCAAGCAGCCCTGGCGACCCGCAGCATCTCTCCGAATCGGCCAGCGCTGAACCTTTCGAGACAATTGCGCCAGGATCGCGCGTCGTCGTTTCCGGCATCAGTGCTCAGTCTCATCTGAATGGGCAGCTCGGCACAGCGGTCGAGTTCGACGCAGGCGAGGGGCGTTGGAAGGTCTGCTTGGACCTTGCCTCGGAAGTTCCTTTCGCCCTTCCCCCAAGCGATTGGCTTTTCAGAAGACACCCTACCCAAAATTCAATTGAAGCCCTGCCAAAGCCCTGGCGGCGTCTTGACGTGGTTTCAACGAAGTTAGTTTAACATGAGGGCTCGCCCAAAAAGGTCATGATGGACGACGGGAGCAGAAAGATGTTCAGGCCGGCGCACCTGGCGGCATGCGAGCAGGCTCGCCGAATGTCTTCCCACGCAGGTGCGCGAGAGCGTGCGTCTCAAGGAATTTGCCCATCTGGTACCTTTTTGCTGATGTGTTTCTCCTTCGCTGCGCCCACCCTTTTGGAACGCCACGCCAGCAAACGAGTGTGACTTGGGCCCCTGGGTAAGCTTTTAAGGCATGGTGCCCTCCGACATGAGCCAGAAGGCGAAGGAAGGGGAACGGGGAGAGGTAACAACAAAGAGAAGCCACAAGGCGAAGAAACAGCAGAACCCGAACGGACGCGAACGCGACAACCGACCGGGGGCAAGGGCGACAGCACGACCCGACACGAAACGACGTCCTCCTCCTCCTCCTCCTCCTCCTCCTCCTCCCTCCTCCTCCCCTCCACCTCCCTCCCTCCTCCTTCCTCCTCCTCCTCCCTCCTCTCTCTCCTCGCCTCCTCCGCCTCCCCCTCATCCTCCTCCTCCCCATCATCCTCCTCCTCCTCCTCTCCTCTCCTCTCCTCCTCCTCCTCCTCTCCTCTCCTCCCTCCTCCTCTCCTCTCCTCCTCCTCCTCCTCCTCCTCCTCCTCCTCCTCCTCCCTCCTCCTCCTCCTCCCCTCCTCCTCCTCTCCTCCTCCCTCCTCCTCCTCCTCCTCCTCCGCTTCTCCTCCTCCTCCTCCTTCTCCTCCTCCTCGCCCATCAATGAAGGAAGACCGTCCGTCGAGTTTTTTTCATGACTCGAGGGGGTCTGGAGTGGTACGCCCACTTGGGATTGTGCCCTCAGTGTGAGGACGTCTCTGGGGGGTGCGTGAACGTTTCAGTCCATGCTCGAGGTGTCGCCTGCGCGTTGAGGCCAGCGCTCAGTTTATGCTGTCTCATCGTGGTGGTCCACACACGTGTGGGTGCGCGGGTGGCCCTCATCATTGAAGTCGTTGGGACACGGCTGCGGGAACGACGGTGCGCAGTCACCTTCGGGATCGGTGCTCAAACTTGTACTACACGCGGAGGGCGCCCCCACCAGGAGAATCCAGGATACAGGGTCCGGCTTGAATAAGGAACACCTATTTTTCAAAAGGGGCTCGGTCGTTCCTTGGGCTTGCATGAGTTCCGCTACCTTTTTGGCGGCGGGACCCCCTGGTGTTTCTTCGGATGTTCTAGATTCACCTGGAAAAAAGGGGCCTCGTTCCTTATTCATCGTTCCTTGGGTCAGGCCGAATACTGTACAGGATCGAAGTTTCTGTGAGGCTTGGGGTGTTTCCGGGGGGGCGTTCGCCCGTCTGCCTGCAGGGGGCCTCCCGGGGCGACCTCTGGGCAGGAGTGCCTGCCCTGCGTGGCGTGGCACCCTCGTGGCTGCCGCCACGCCGGCCCTCTCTTGCCTGGGCACTGACCGACTGCTGCTGCTGCTGCTGCTGATGCTGCTGCTGCTGCTGCTGCTGCTGGTGCTGTGGGCGTGCGTCCCGCCCCCCCCCCACCCTGCACCCCCGCCTCCCCCTTCGCCAGGGTTGGGGGGACGGGAGGAGGGAGTGGAGTTCCGGGCGAAGCCAAGAGCCACAGCAACAATCGAGGGGATTTGTCCAGAGGGCCCCTCGGGGGAGGACCCACCGACCTCGGCATGAGCGCTTTGGCTGTGGTCGTGGTCGATTTGGCCGTCTATGATGCTCACATCGACCACAGCCAGGTCGCTAAACTGGTTTCGATGCTCTGGCGATTGGTTGGCATGCACAAAGCATCACCCAGGGTGCGTCCTCGATATGGTTGTGGTCGACTGCCGCCCCCGCAGGAGTGCCAGTGGGAGGGGCGGCAGGGCAGGGGGGCAACAGGGAGGGCGGGCGGAGGAGTGGCAGCAGTGCCAGGAGGAAGGGGTGGGAACAGGCGGCGGAGGACGGGGGAAGAGGGATGAGGAAGAGGGCAAGCGAAGTGCGCAAGCGTCTTATCTGACTTCATATCCCTCCCTCCCATCTCTTACCATGGCGTAGATCTCCTCGCTGTTCGCGCAGTCGGATGTCGCAGCATGGCACTGCATTACATGGCATAACATGGCGTTGAAGATCAACGCGTAGCATGACATAGCATGGCGTGGCATTGCGTAGCCATGCACTGCATATCATAGCATTGCAGCTGAAGGCATGGCATCGCACAGCAGAACACACCATAGCATTGCATTGCATGCCATGGCATGGCTCTGGAAATGAGGTCAGCGCTGCAGCGGGAGCACGATTCGGAACGAGCAGAAGCGCGGAAATGAGGACAACACTGCAGCGGGAGCATGATTTGGAACGAGCGGAAGCGGGGAAATGAGGCCAGCGCTGTAGCGGGAACACGATTCGGAACGAGCGGAAGCCCGAAAATGAGGCTAGCGCTGTAACGGGAGCAACAATTTGAAGGACCGGAAAGTAACGGATGTGTATCAATACATATGAAAGACCAATTCGTCGGAATCTTGTGTGTAAAGAAGCAGTACGCGGAGGGGGGCCGAACATCTTCCGGACAGAGTCAGCGGAGAGAGGGGAGTAGTATTTTGATTGTGCAATGGTGGAGGAGGAGGGAGAAGGAACGGAGGAGGAGGAGGGGGAGGAGGGAGAAGGAGGAGGAGGAGGAGGAGGTGGAGGGGGGAGGAGGAGGGTGAGGAGGCAGCGGCAGCAGGAGGAGGAGGAGGAGGAGGAGGACGACGACGAGAGGGAGGTGGCTTACCTTTCCATTCCTTCCCTTCCCCTCCCCTCTCCTTCGGCACCTCCTCTCCAGGTCCCTAACGGTCTCGAGACAACAGCAATACAGCAACAAACGCAAGAACCCCTATCCCCCTCCTCCTCCTACCCGTCAATCCTTTTGCTGCTGCTGCTGCTGCTCAACATCCTCCG